CTGAAAAAATAATGTAAAATGATGGTGAAATGTTAGATTTTTTTGCCCTCTCTATTTCTAAGGTTTTGTTTTGATTAATCCAAACCGACTCGGATTGCACACTTTGCTGTGGTGGGTGAGTCTCCCAATGAAAATTTTCTACATACACAAAAACTTGAACTCAAAACTTGTGATGTTTGATTTTTAGTTTTGGTAATCAGTATAATTTTGACAACTTACATAAAATTATATTATAACGATGCGAAGTTGGACAAATATGAAAATGATGAGCCAGCTGCAGATAAGCAACAACCGTTTACTAAATGTTATTGTCATAATGTCTCCCCTAACAACCCAACCACGAACGAGTGCCAGTTAGACTTAAAAAAATAATTTGAGAAAGGATGGTGAAATTTAGGTTTTAAAACAACTTGATTTTTGGAGTTGTCATCAATCTTTGGGTTAAATAGGTTGAATACCTAAAAATATATTTTTAATGAATTTTAAAAAAACATTAAAAGACAAAAATGGTATGCAATTTACCAAAGATTTATTTCAAAAGTTTAAGAGTCGATTATGCATGGGGAAGTAAAAACACCCCACAACGCTCAAACTTGGTACCCAAACAATTAAATGTTGTCTAAACACTAGAATTGCAAACTAGAATATATATTTAAATTGTGATTGTTGTCGTTAATTCGAATTTATTTTGAAACGAGTGAATTTCATTAAAATGATTTTGATTGGGAAAGAAAAATTGATTCACACAAATTTGTTCAAAAGGATGTCCTTTTGATTCAAGAAAATTAATAAAGATTGCCATCTTTTGGAGTTAGGATACTAACTTGTCAATTCTCCCAAACCAAAACAAATTTGTCTTAGAAATTATTAAAATTAAAAATATGATGATAAATAATAAATGCAATGAGTGCAAAAATATACTTTATGAATAATTAATATCCAACATAAAAAACTATTTATTTACTCCAAAAGATTATTATTATTTTTAAAAGAGAAATTACATAATTTTGTAAGAACAATCTTTGAAAACGCTTTTTTCTTGTAATTGAGAGATTTTTTCATTGTTTCCTCTCATGAAATAGTGTTTCTTTAATTTTATTGATAATACATTTAATTTTTAAAAAATATAGTATCACAATAGTTTTGAAGAAAATGCTCGGATAAAAGAATGTTTTTTTGTACGAACAATCCTTAGAAATGCACTTTCTTTATAGTTAGAAGATTTTTTCATGGATTCCCTTAAAAAATGACCTTACATTTTTTTAAATGAAAATAAATAAATAAAGTAAAAAAGAACAAAATAAAATGAAATAATAATAATGCTTAAAATAAAATAAGATAATAAAATAAACATGATAAAGTAAAAGTAATTGAATATAAAATGACTTTTGTGCAATAAATCATCGAATACGTGATTCTCTTATAGTTGAGAGATGTCTTCATAGAATTTCCTCACAACAAAATTTATCTTTCGTATATGGGCCTTTGTATCTGGGCTTAGGGTTAGCCAAGAGAGTTAAGTATGTGGGCCTTTGTATCTGGGCTTAAGGTTTGGGTTGGATTGTAATTTGGGGCTTAATATATATATATATATATGTATATTTAATATTTTTTATATTAATAATATAATTAGTAATAACAAATAATAGTAGTAATAATAATACTAATATTAAATGATAATAATAGGTAACAATAATAGTAATAGTAATATAATAATATATAATAATAATATATAATAATTACAATAGTTAATAATAATCATAGTAGTACGTAAGTAAAAATAAATATAATCATAATAACACTTAATATAACATTAATAACAATAGGAGTAGTATAGTAATACTAATACACGTTAATAGTGAGTAATAATAATAGTATAGTAATAATATTTAATATAGCCTTAACAACAATAACAACAACAATAATAATATAATATAATATAATATAATAACAGTAGTATAATATAATAATATAACACTAATAATACTAATAGTATATTAATAATAATATAATAGTGGGATAATAACAATAGTACTTAATAATAATAATACTTAATATGGTAATAACAATAATAGTATAACAATAATACTAATATAATAGAAATAATAGTACTAATATTAAGTAATAATATTATTTAAACAAGGTCGGGTAAAAATGGTGATTACAACTGTCCCTTTTTGCATGTTGCTATGAAACAGGAATAGAGCAAAGACTTGAAGCACCTGCTTTTTTTCGACTACACAGCCATAGGGTTTGGAGCTCCAAATTCTTCTCATTATGAACTTTTCACTCTTTTTTGGATGAGTTATTCTCATTATGAACTTTTACAGAATGCTGACTCACATCCTTCTGTGATGAATCTGAAAGGAAACAAACAAGTTCTTCTCATTATGAACTTTTTCTCATCAGGGCAAGTTCTTCTCATTATGAACTATTCCAGAAATGTTGATTCACCTCTTTCTACGATGAGTTTGAATGGAATAAGTTTTCTCATTATGAACCTTCTTCTTTGGGACTAGTTCTTCTCATTATGAATTATTCTAAAAATATTGGTCCACCTCATTCTTCGATGGATTCGAAAGGAATAAGTTCTTCTCATTATGAACTTTCTGATTTGGGGCGAGTTCTTCTCATTATGAACTATTTTGGAAATGTCGGTCCACCTCCTTCTGCAATGGATTTGAAAGGAATAAGTTCTTCTCATTATGAACTTTTTCCTTAGGGGCGATTTCTTCTCATTATGAACTCTTTAGGAAATGTCAGTCTACCTCCTTGTGCGATGAATTTAAAAGGAATAAGTTCTTCTTATTATGAACTTTCTTCTTTGGGGTGAGTTCTTCTCATTATGAAATCTTCTGGAAATGTCGATCCACCTCATTCGACGATGGATTTGAAAGGAATAAGTTCTTCTCATTATGAACTTTTTTCTTTGGGGTGAGTTTTTATCATTATGAACTCGGTCCACCTCCTTCTGCGATGGATCAAAGTCATTATTGACTCTCTCTGAATTCCTATCGAAATATTCAAATCATTTTAATGAATATGAATGGGAAATCATGCTCTTATTTGTGGATGCCTACTGATGTATGCATGATGTCATTTTAATATTGTGTGTTCTGCTGTCTTGCAAATCCTCATTTCGAATGCTTCATTTGGCCTTTCGACTTTGCTTCATATCTTGCTCGGACTATTATCTGTAGGTTCTTGCTTCTCTTATTCTTGGACGACCTCTTTTTCTGCTTCTTTTGAAATATTTATCTTCGGGTAAATAAATTCTTGACAAGGCCCTGTCTTGGCGCACCATGAAATGTCAACATTTTCATCGTGTTTCTCGTGGTTTTAGCTCACATGCATTTTCCTTAGTCATGCTTTACCATACATTCTTTGACTATGAAAACGAGTGTGAAGATCTTGGCTTACTTTGGACTCCCTGCACTAGAAATATTAGTTCAAAGTAATACTAAGAAATCTTTTGTTTTTTAATGTTATGTCAATTTACTTATAAGATGCTTATATATATATATATATATATATATATATATATAAAATGAATATAATTGGGGTTTGAAATAATAAACTTGGAATTTACTGACATAAATTTGAATTTACAAAGTTATGAAAATAATAAAAATGATGGAAATTTAGAAATAAAAGTCAGATTCCCTTACGGATCACTAGCATGATTGTTTCTGAACCAATCCACTTGATAAAACTTGGAGCACTGAGTTGAACTTCTGTCTGAAGGATTTCAAGTGTTTCCATAATGTTGGTAGACATGAAGCTCCTCTCAAAATTTCAGGCTCTCGATAGGATTTAACTGTCATGTGCCTAATATCAAATTGCATTTGAGCTGCCTTTTCAGGTTTTCAACCTAAATCTTTCATTTGGTTTCAAGATGCTCTTTGTGGATTTTCATCTTGAACCCTTTTTTCGTTTTTCATCTCTCATTTTCATTTTTTCTTCTTTTTATTTTTACTCAATTATAGTACTTATTTACAGAGTTTGAGTTTATCGGATTTCTCAGTTCTTTCCATTCATCTCTACCAAGATCAACACTCCTTCTAAGAAGGTTTTTTTGACAACATATGGCCCTTTCCAATTAGGTATCTATTTTCCACAAAAATCTTTATGAATAGGCAAAATAATTTTAAGCACTAGATCACCCTCTCAAAATTCTCTTAGATGAACCTTCTTGTCATGAGCTCGCATAATCTATTGCTAACACATCTGGCTATGGAAAATATCTTTTAGCCTCTTTTTTTCAATGAGATTCAACCGGTCAAATTGAGATTGAACCCATTTAGCTTCATCAACTTTCAGTTTTTTCAAAATTCGAAGCGACGAGATTTCGACTTCTACTAGTAAGATTGCCTTCATCCCGTAGACTAAAGAGAATGAAATTGCCCCTGTCGAAATTTGCAATGTAGTTTGATATGCATACAAAGTAAAAAGTAATTTTTCATGCCAATCCCTGTAAGTATAAATGGTTTTTGTAATAATCCTTTTAATTTTTTTATTTGTTGCTTTTACTGCCCTATTCATTATCGAACGACATGTCACTGAATTTGAATGCTTTATCTTGAACTAAGCGCAAACCTTTGCCATAATTTTGTTATTCATATTGATGGCATTATCTGAGATGATTCTTTCTAACAACCCATACCAATCAATTATCTATTTCTTTATAAACTTGCAAAATGTAGACCTCGTGATATTGGCATATGAAGCAACTTCAACCCACTTAGTAAAGTAATCAATTGCCATAAATATGAAACAATGTCCATTTGAAGCATTCAGTGTAACTGCCCTGATGACATCCATGCCCCATATAGAGAACGACCATGGTACGATCATCACATACAAAAGTAAGAGAGGGTATGAATCTTATCCGCATATATTTGACATTTGTAACATCTTCTTACATAATCAATACAGTCTGAATGCATGGAGGCACAATAGTGTTCATATCTCATGATCTTTCTGGCCATAGAGAGTCATTTTCATGTGTTCCACATATCCCTTTTCACCTCTTCAAGTATACTTCTTGCTTCTCGAGCATTCACACATCTTATCAAAACCTGATCACTTCCCTTTCTGTACAAAATTTTCCCATCAAGGACATATCCAACAACCATTCTTCTTATTGTTCTCTTATCAATCTTAGACGCTTGCTGCGAGTAAGTTTGATGCTTGATGTACTGTAGGATGTCATAGTACCATAGGTGACCATCATCCTCTTCTTCTACACTATAACATTGTGCGAGAGTTTCATATACTTGCATTTTAATTGGAATCATGTTAGCTCTCTTATTTACTTGAAAGATTGTAGCCAATATGACCAAAACATCTGCCATCTGATTATATTCTCGAGGGAGAAAAGTGAAAGTGATCTCTTCAAACTCTTTTACCAATTCAAGGATCAATTTTCTATATTCAACTAACTTTGGGTCCTTTGTCTCCCATTCCCCTCGCAATTGATACACGACTAACGAGGAATCTTCATATACTTTGAGCACTTTAACTTTTCTTTCTATGGCCACTCTTAACCCCATAGCACAAGCCTCATATTCTTCCATATTATTGGTGCAAAAGAACTTCAATCTACTTGTAAAATGATAGTTGACATTTTCTGAAGAAATCAACATTGCCCCAATTCTTCATCCCAAAGCATTGGATGCCCCATCAAAATAAAGATTCCAAGATTTATCATCTGAAACTACTTGTCATTGGTTGTGATGCACATTAGATCCTCATTTGGAAAATTAAAGTTTAGGGACTCATAATCGCTTGAGGCACGACTTGCAAGGAAATCTACTATGACACTTTATTTGATTGCTTTTTGACTTACATATACGATGTCAAATTCTGATAACAACATCTGCTATCTAGCTAATCTACTGTCAGAGCTGGTGACTCCATCAAATACTTTAATGGATCAAATTTAGATATCAACCAAGTGGTATGGTATAACATATATTGTTTGAGCCTTTGGGTAGCCCAAACTAGATCACAACATAGTTTCTGTATAGGTGGGTATCATATCTCACAATCAGTGAACTTTTTACTCAGATAATATATGGATCTCTCTTTTCTTCCTGACTCGTCGTGTTGTCCTAATACATATCTCATAGAATTCTCAAAGACTGTTAGGTAGAGAATTAATGGTATATCGAGAACTGGTGACACTGGAATCGAAGCATTGGATAAATACTTCTTAATTATCTCTAAAGTCTTTTGGCATTTGTCATTATAAACTTCAGGGTTGTTACTTCGAAGTAATTTGAAAACTGGATCGCATTTATCAGTTAAATGTGAAATGAACGAGATATATAGTTCAACCTCCCTAGGAATCTTTGAACTTCTTTTTGCGTACGAAGTGGCGGAAGATCTTGAATGTCTCTTACTTTATTTGGGTCGATCTCAATTCCTCTTTAACTAACTACATAACCCAAGTGCTTCCCTGACATTACCCCGAGGGTGCATTTAGCTGGATTAAATTTCAATTAGTATTTTCTCAATATTTGGAAAAACTTTCTTAGGTTTTGAATGTGTTATTTTTCAGTCATGGATTTGGCAATCATGTCATCCACATACACTTCGATCTCTTAGTGCATCATATCATGGAAACGAGTCACCATAGCCTTTTGATAAGTTGCTCCATTGTTTTCCAGACCAAACAACATTACTTTATTCAAGAACGTGCGCTATAGAGTCATAAATGTGATTTTTTCCATTTCTTTGGGGTTCATTTTTATTTGGTTATCCCTTGAGAAGCCATCCATGAAAGAGAATCAAGAATAACCTACAATGTTTTCCACCAAAGTTTCTATAAGAGGTAAAGGGGAATTATATTTTGGGTTTGCTCTACTGAGATCTCTATAATCCACGCACATACAAACTTTTCCATCTTTCTTTAGAACATGAACTATATTGGCAACCCATTCTGGATACTTTGTGTAACATCCCAAAAGTCAGGTCAATGACCAAAATAGAATTTATGGTAATTTAGTGACCAATCTCAGAAAAGATTGAAAGTTTAGGGACTTAAATGAAAAGTGTTGATGTTGGATTTAATAATAAAGTTTGAAAGTAATAAGGGTATTATGGTCATTTTTTAGGAAATATTTTTATTTCCCTTTATAAAGGGTAATAAGCACGTGGAAAGGAAATAATTTCTCCAGAGCATTCTTCAGTTTCTTCTTCCTCCTTTCTACCTTGAAGTCTTGTATAAGGTAAGTGGGTCTTCAGTTGGTTAATTCTTTCGTTTTAAAGCTTGTATTGATTCTTGGGATGTTAATAAAGATTAAGGAAAGCTTTAGGTGGCTTAAAACTTAAAGATTAACAAGTTAATAGAAATTAAAAAAAATGAGTTTGTAAGTGAATATTTGAAATAGAATGAGTGAATAGATTTTTAAGTTGAATTTGACTTGTCAATGAGTGAATTAAGAAATATGAAGTGTTAGAATTGGAATTTGTACATGTTGCAAAGTTGGTGTAATTTTTGAAATACACATGGAGGATAGAATTTTTAAGTTAAAGATATATTGAATGAGTATAAATGGGCTTAAGTAAGTGTATTGGAGTTTAGCATATGAAGGAGGAGGAAACATAAAGTGTTTGAGATGAAATGAAGTAATTTTCATGTGAAAAATATGATTTTTGGGTTAAGGGTATCAGTACCCATTCAACAGGTACCGATACCCTCTCAAACAAAAAATCAAAGAATGAAATGAGGGTACCGATACCCTAAGAAGGGTATCGATACCCCTTAAAGGAAAAATGTGAATATTGGTTTATTAAGTTCGTTTAAGTTGCTAGTATCAAATTACAAGGTGTAGGCATATGATAATTGCCTTAAAATGTATAATTATGTAAATATTGAATGTGAATTTGTTCTGGAGCAATCGAAGAAGTAGAAACAATCAAGAGAAAGAAAGTGCTAGAATCACACAATATTCAATAGTATATGATGTGTAATGGGAATAAGACTTGCGATATTTCCTATAGTGTTACGCATGAATTCATGATTAAAGGCATGAGTTGAATATGAGTGTATGTATGCTTGATTGTATGAATTAATATGTTCTTTTATGAACTATGTGATCATATATGTAAAATAGTAAAGTAGAATTATATTATTAAATGAGAAGTGAAATAAGCTAGATAATATTGACCTATAGGATGATATGAGAATAGTATACCAACTAGGAGACTTGAACATAAATGATAATATGAACATATAAGATAAACTAGATGAGAAAGATTCATATGTTTAAATAAAATTATGACACATGGGTTGTATGATAGAAATCTATGGAGCCATATGAGAAGATTATAGGAGTAATATGAAATTTAATTAAGTAAATAGATTAATTTGTATATAAAAGAAATAATTGAAGTGATATATATATATATATATATTTACAAGTATGAAATAGGTCACATTATCTAGGTGATTATAAGAAAATAAAGCATAGATTATATGATATGTTATAAGTTATTATATGCATATATGAAATATGTTATTAAGCAATGAGACTAGTAATATGAAATGACTTGGAAAGTTAATAGAAGTTGTGTGAAAATGATCTATGTGCTTATATGTGATATGTTAATTATGTAACAATGAGTTATGTGAAAAATAAGTGAGGTGATTGCATGATCACAAGACACAAGTTATGTGCTAAAGAGATAAATCATATGAGATATGACATAAGTGGTTACATGAGACATGGTATGAAAAAGAGTACAAGTATATGTGATGAGATATATGAAAGTGAATTACATGAAAATGTGTTATGTGTAAGTGAACTATGTGATTATATGAATATGTGAAAGGACATAATTAAATGCCCATGTTATGTGTTATGAGAACTAGGGGTATAGTTGGCATGCCAAGAGTCGAGGGTCTACACGGTCCTTCGGGACATACAATATACAGAGGTCCTTCGGGACAAATTGTTGAAAACATTTTGATGTTTCGATATAACAAATTAAGTTGAATGAATTTTAAGATTTTACAAATGATTTTCTAAAAGTATATTCGATTTAATTACTCGAATATCAAATTATTACTCCAAGTCTTTTAAGATCAATTTCAAACCTTACTAAATGTGTAAAATTGTGTTTTATACTTAATATATTTTTGAAACAATTTTGACAAAGTATTTTGAACCAAAATCAAGCCTAAAATCAATTTTTCAGAGTGATGCACCGATGCACCAATTCATGCATCGATGCACCATGAATTAAATTGAACATTGAATGCATTTCATGCATCGATGCACATACCATGCACCGATGCACTGAGGATGTTATGAAAACATCGAATGGATTTGATGCATCGATGCACCAGTCATGCTTTGATGCACTCTGGCTATTTTGAAACATCGAATGCACTTGATGCATCGTTGCACTCTTAGTGCACCGATGTACTAAGGGTCCAACGGTCAAAATATTTGAATTTTACACTGATGCACTGATGCACCATGGGTATGCATCGATGCACTGACGCTCCTAACTGCTTTAATTAATTGTTTTCACACTTAAACGACTCTATTGACTCCACTAATCATCACCAACGTTCAGAAGTGATTCAAGGTGTATTTAAACAAGCTTAGAAGTCACTGATCAATAACAAGAAACATCAAGCAACTAGAATCAAGAGAGAATCAAAGAGAAAGCATCAAACCTCAAGTTTGAGCATTTTAAGCCTATTTTTCATTCAATATTCATTTTGCTTTCAAGAACACTTATTGTGCTCAATTGTATTTATTCTTGAGTGTTCTTTTTTTGTTCTAGAATTGTGCAAACATATTTGCCTTGTGAGGTTTTTCTTGTGAGTTTGTAAATTTGTAATATTCTCTTTGAGAAAAGAGTGTTCTCAAGAATTGGGGTATATTCTTGAGGGAGTTGTAAGGTTATCTCTTTGACCTCAAAAGAAAGAACAAATTAGTGAATTTGTTAGAAAATCCTTAGTGTGGATAGCTAAGGTAGTGGACGTAGACTTTGGTTGATAAAGTCGAACCACTCTAAATCACTGTGCAATTACTTTCAATTTTCTGCAAAAGCTTCCACAAAATTTTAATTGCCAATTCACCCCCCAATTGGCCGATTCCGTTAATCGATTAACTCAATAATTGGCATTATTTTCCAAATGATTCAGAAAGTTGATGATGCCCAACCGAGGAAGAAAATTCAAAAGTCATGAAGGCGTCAAAACTGAATCGAAGGAGAAAGACCCGATCATTTTCTATGAATGCAAAAAGCCTGGGCATGTCAAATATGATTGCCCATAATTGAAGAAAAAGGGTCAATCCAAAAAGAAGCACAAGGCTCATGTAACTACATGGAGCGATGAAGAAGGTTCTGATGTAGAGGAATAAGAAGTTGCAAACTTGTGCTTGATGACTATCGGGGAAGATTCTAAGGTAACCTCTAACTCATTCGATTTGGATGAATTATCTTATGATGAGTTATTAGAGGATTATAATGGGTTGGCTTCGGATTATAAGAATATATTTTCAAAATACAAAAATGATATTTCAAAATTGAAAAATGAAAATAGTCTTATATC